AATCCTAAATCGCGAACACAACTTCTCGGTGCCTCTCAGTATCAGGGAAGGTACCTCGCAATAACCGGTAACTTATCACGCGGCTGAACACAAAATCCTCAATCACGAACACAACTTCTCGGTGCCTCTCAGTATCAGGGAAGGTACCTCGCAATAACCGGTAACTTACCACGCGTCTGAACACAAAATCCTTAATCGCGAACACAACTTCTCGGTGCCTCGCAGTATCAGGTAAGGTACCTCGCAATAACCGGTAATTAACCACGCGGCTGAACACAAAATCCTCAATAGCGAACACAACTTCTCGGTGCCTCTCAGTATCAGGTAAGGTACCTCGCAATAACCGGTAAATAACCACGCGGCTGAACAAAAAATCCTTAATCGCGAACACAACTTCTCGGTGCCTCTCAGTAACAGGTAAAGTACCTCGCAATAACCGGTAAATTGCCACGCGGCTGAAAACAAAATCCTCAATAGCGAACACAACTTCTCGGTGCCTCGCAGTATCAGGGAAGGTACCTCGCAATAAATGGTAACTTACCACGCGGCTGAAAACAAAATCCTTAATAGCGAACACAACTTCTCGGTGCCTCTCAGTATCAGGGAAGGTACCTCGCGATAACCGGTAACTTACCACGCGGCTGAACACAAAATCCTTAATCGCGAACACAACTTCTCGGTGCCTCGCAGTATCAGGTAAGGTACCTCGCAATAACCGGTAATTTACCACGCGGCTGAACACAAAATCCTTAATCGCGAACACAACTTCTCGGTGCCTCTCAGTATCAGGGAAGGCACCTCGCAATAACCGGTAATTTACCACGCGGCTGAACACAAAATCCTTAATCGCGAACACGACTTTTCGGTGCCTCGCAGTATCAGGGAAGGTACCTCGCAATAACCGGTAACTTACCACGCGGCTGAACACAAAATCCTTAATCGCGAACACAACTTCTCGGTGCCTCGCAGTATCAGGGAAGGTACCTCGCAATAACAGGTAATTACCACGCGGCTGAACACAAAATCCTTAATCGCGAACACAACTTCTCGGTGCCTCTCAGTATCAGGTAAGGTACCTCGCAATAACCGGTAAATTACCACGCGGCTGAACACAAAATCCTTAATCGCGAACACAACTTCTCGGTGCCTCGCAGTATCAGGTATGTTACCTCGCAATAACCGGTAACTTACCACGTGGCTGAACACAAAATCTTAATCGCGAACACAACTTCTCGGTGCCTCTCAGTATCAGGGAAGGTACCTCGCAATAACAGGTAACTTACCACGCGGCTGAACACAAATTCCTTAATCGCGAACACAACTTCTCGGTGCCTCGCAGTATCAGGGAAGGTACCTCGCAATAACCGGTAACTTACCACGCGGCTGAACACAAAATCCTTAATCGCGAACACAACTTCTCGGTGCCTCGCAGTATCAGGGAAGGTACCTCGCAATAACCGGTAACTTGCCACGCGGCTGAACACAAAATCCTTAATCGCGAACACAACTTCTCGGTGCCTCTCAGTATCAGGGAAGGTACCTTGCAATAACAGGTAACTTACCACGCGGCTGAACACAAATTCCTTAATCGCGAACACAACTTCTCGGTGCCTCGCAGTATCAGGGAAGGTACCTCGCAATAACCGGTAACTTACCACGCGGCTGAACACAAAATCCTTAATCGCGAACACAACTTCTCGGTGCCTCGCAGTATCAGGGAAGGTACCTCGCAATAACAGGTAACTTACCACGCGGCTGAACACAAAATCTTAATCGCGAACACAACTTCTCGGTGCCTCTCAGTATCAGGGAAGGTACCTTGCAATAACAGGTAACTTACCACGCGGCTGAACACAAATTCCTTAATCGCGAACACAACTTCTCGGTGCCTCGCAGTATCAGGGAAGGTACCTCGCAATAACCGGTAACTTACCACGCGGCTGAACACAAAATCCTTAATCGCGAACACAACTTCTCGGTGCCTCGCAGTATCAGGGAAGGTACCTCGCAATAACAGGTAACTTACCACGCGGCTGAACACAAATTCCTTAATCGCGAACACAACTTCTCGGTGCCTCGCAGTATCAGGGAAGGTACCTCGCAATAACCGGTAACTTTCCACGCGGCTGAACACAAAATCCTTAATCGCGAACACAATTTCCGCAACTATCGCGAACACAACTTCCGCAATTACTCGATGCCTCACAATAACAGGGATGGCACGTCGCAATAACAGGTCGGCGGTACATCGTACCAAGGGGTATCGTGCCACGTAGGACGATAGCTCGCCCGCGGTCTTCATAACAAAAAAGTCCACAAGAGGTCACTGGGGTGGGCAGTACCAACTGAATAATGAATTTTACTAAAAACACCACCTCCCAATAAAAGGATTTTCGGTTTGTGCCTTTTATTGGGAGGTGGTACCTTTTACGGGGAGGTGAAATGAAGAAAAAGCCTTTTACTGGGAGGTTTAGCGCGGGAGGTGGCCTTACCTCCCAAAAGTCCAAATAGCATTGGAGGTGGGGAGAAGTGCACAGGAGTGGGGACACAGCGTCAAATGAGAGCACCTCCCAATAAAAGCACTGAACAAAAACTATCTAATTGATATTATTTCCAAAATAATTAGCTTGCATATGCCTCAAAACACCAAAACAACAAAATCAATCCATATTCTTAGGAATATTTTTTCAAGGAAATACTCATTTAAAAAAATATCTTATTGCAAAAATTGTTATAAAGTTAATAATAATGCTTCAGATTCATGCTGCGGGGAAAGATTTATATCACAATTTCTTTACTTTCCTATTGAAGAACAAATTAAATGCTTATTTCAGAGATACAGTTTTCGAAAAATGATCTTTGAAAGATTTCAGAAAAAGAAAAAATATATTCACAACATTGAGTCAGTATTTGATGGGTCTGTCTACAAAAATAAATCAGATTTTTTAAGCAAGCAAGGACATTTTTCACTTTGCTTTTATTCAGATGGTGTTGAGCTATATAAATCTTCGAAAAGCTCTGTTTGGCCTCTTTTTCTAACATTTAATGAGCTACCATACAAAGAGCGCTTTAAAGTTAAGAATATGTTATTCCTTGGAATGTGGTTTGATGGTTCAAAACCTGACTTCAATACTTTTCTTTCTTGTGCCCATTCTTCGTTTCTAAATTTAGCAACTAAAGGTATAGACATAGAATTTTCAGAAAATGGAAACAACATGCGTGCTAATGTTAAAGGCATATTACTTGACGGCACAGGTGATGCTCCAGCGAAAGCAAAAATGTATAAAATGAATCAGTACAATGGGAAATTTGGATGTATGGTTTGCTATCAACGTGGAAGCAGTAGACTTGATAGCAACAATAAGACTATGAGAGGTCCGCTTATTTTTCCTTATGAGGAAAATATAACTCTTCGTACTTCGGAAGCAACAAGGGTATTAGGATTGAAAGCAAACAATGCAGTTTCAATATTTTATGGTGTTAAGGGTGTCACAATATTTTCAAAACTGATGGATGACTTTATTGGCGGCATGAGCATAGATGCAATGCACAGCATTTTTTCCGGGGTGACTTCAAAACTCATCGATCTTTGGTTCAATGAAAAATATAAAAAAGAAGAATATAGTTTATTTGAATATTCAACAATAGTGGACAAATTTTTGAAATCCCTAAAACGGCCATATTTTTTGAATAGAACGCCAAGGCCTATACAAATGTACATTAGTAACTATACTAGCTCTGAATTTAAAAATTTTTTTTATTATTACTCCATACCAATTTTAAAACAGTGCATGAAAGAGCCTTACTTAGATCACTATTTCCTTCTTGTTGAGGCCATATTCATGCTAAACCAAGATTCAATATCAAATGATGATTTAATGTATGCGGATGAAAATATCAAAGTATTTGTAAAAAATTTTTGCAAATTCTATAACAACAATGACATGAATTCAAACGTTCACGCACTTTTACATCTGCCCCTCATTGTAAAGCGCCTTGGGCCACTATTTGAGACAACTTGTTTCCCTTATGAAAGTGTAAACGGCCAGATGAAAAAAATGGTCAAATGCACGCGTTATGCGGAGGTAAAAATAGCAGAAACATTTTGTGTGGAGCAGTCGTTGCCACTTTTCATCGAAAATTTACCGCCAACGTCAAAAGTTCGTTCATTAATTGATGATATTAAATCATCTAAGAAGCTGAAAAAAATTGAGGAAATATCGGCAAACTTATTTGCTGTTGGTGGTAAATACAAAAATTACAAAGATCTCGGAAAAGAGGCCTCAATCATGATTAAAAGAGCTCTTTTCTCCTCATCCATCGGAATTTGCCTTGAAAAAATTTCATGTTTCCATAGACTTCAGATTAATAAAAATATTTTCACAGCCAAAAGTCATACAAGTCCATCTAATTCTTATTGTATTGAGTACTTTGAAGAAGACATAGGCCTCATCGAAACCTTCCTTAAGATTTCAGATTGTATCTGTAATAAAAAAACCACATGCAAATGCTCAGGTCAGTTTTATGCTATAATTCGGAAATGCGATAAGAAAGCTATACCAGGATTGTCGATGAATAAGTTTATTAATGAATTATTTGTATTAGATGATTATTTAGCTATAAGTTTGAATGACATAAAAAATCTGTGTGTATATATGGAGGTTAATGATTTTGTATATTATGCAAAAAAAGTTAATAATGTGGAGCTTGAATAAAAAATCAATATTAAAAAATGTGACATGTAACTTATTAATAAAATTACCAATTTTTTTTTAATATTTTAAAAATCGAACTTTGCTTTTTATTAATTACATTGCTGGTTATGAAAATAATTTATTAACTTATGTATTTCTATATAGGTACATATAATATTATATATTAATTTTTTTTTTAATTTTATAAAAAGCAAAAGGAAGTAAGAAAGTTATTTAATATATAATTTTTACATTAGTCACTTGCTAAACACATGAAAAAAATGAGATAGATGGAAAGTTGTTATTTTATTGTTGAAAACCACTCTTCGAAGACTGCCACCACTTCTTTCTCAAAAGAGAAGCACCCTCTAGTGTGAGTGACTTGTACTTCGTGGACTTCTGATATCCGAAAGGTGTAAAGGGGATGAGAAAATCTGGATAGTAGGCTACGCCGCATGACATCGAAGTTATGCCGGCTGCATTTATGAGGAACGTTACTAAGATAATAATACCGTATTTTTTAAATTTCATTGAATATATTGAGAGGATATAAGCTTGTAATTTAATAATATTCTATATTCAGTGAAGTTAAAAAAAAATTGTACAGCAATACAAATATTATTAAATTGAATATCTTATGAATGTAATACAGAAATATCATGTAAATCAATATACTAAATTTATTTCGTTGACTTATTTAGAACCCTGGGATTTTTCAGGATTAAAATTTTTTAATTTAATTCTCTCTGGATTTATAACTTTTCTAAAATTTTTAAATCTATTTAATTATTGGAACAACTTATGACTAAATTTATTGTTTTACTTGAAAATATAATAAAAAAAAGATAAGGTGGTAAAATATTCAATATTTAATTTATTTTCATGATTGAATCCACTATGCGACCAATTCTCTAGCCGGGCTAGAGTAGCTCCCATATAAGAAGTACCCTCTAGTGTGAGCTAGTTGTACTATTGAATTCTGAAAGGTGAAAAGGGGGATTAGAAAACCTGGATGGTAGGCTCCGCCGCATAACACCGACGAAATGCCGGCTGCATATACGGGAGACGGGGTGAAACCTTTTAATTTTTATATTTGCATTCAATATTCACAGTTGAAATGAAACTATTTTTAGTGACGTGAAAGGAAATCTACTGTGTGTTTATACCTATAGATAATGTTGGTAAATTTATATTTATTTAATGAATTTGTTTGTATTTCAATTTTTATTGTCTCATTTCAATTTATAACAATTTCAAATAACATTTCCCTACATCTTTAAAGTTTTTAATTATCATCTCAAATATTAATTTAATTAATATTTCACTACTTTGTGGGTAGATAGATCTCCAATTTTAATTTCATACTTCTGAATTTAATGACACTATTGCATAGTTCCAAATAATTTTACGCCTATAATGCGGTTTGTGTCGTTCTGTTTCTTGATTATACGTCAACAACTAATGACGTCATCGATCAGAGAAAATAGTAATACTATAGGAAAAAATTTAGGTGCACTTGTCCATGAATGGCTCCAGAAAGGCTTCAGAAATGACGTCATCGATGAGAGAAAAGGAGAACTGGGGAAAAATTTAGGCGCGCTTGTCCATGAATGGCTCCAGAAAGGCTTCAGATTTAGTGAAGTGCATACACACAAAAACGCTCTTCATGGCGTACATTTTAAAGGTGTTTGAAAGAGTATGGAAAGGTATAAAAGTAACGAAGGTAAAAAGTAAAAATCATAAAGGTTACTGAATGGCTTCAGAAAGGCTTGGCTGGGAGGGCGAAAAGTAAGCTGCGATGAAAGCAAGACTGAAAGGTTTGAGAAAGCCAAATAAAGCGTTTGTAAAGGTATGGCTCAAAGAGCGAGAAACTGGACAAAATCGTGACGGTTTTCGGACTATTTATAGAAAGGCTTTGGAGAGGTTCAAATGTAGCTTTACGGGTTTGGGAAAGGGAATAGAACGTTTTTGTAAGTGCAAGTGACAGGTTTTTGATTTTACTTGAGAAATATTTAATGATGCAATAAAAAAGTCAAACCCTTTGAATCTCAATTATTTTGAAACTTTTTCTTAATATTGGAGATATTTTAAAACTATAGTTAATCATTTTGATTAAAATTATATCAAATACAAATATTTATATTTCTATTAGATATTAATTACCATTTCGTTGTGCACTTGGAACAGAGAACACAAACTCCTCAGTTTGTTTAATTGATTCTGGCTTCACTTTTTCTATCCTACTGAGCAATTTGTGGAAGACAATTGTGTGGGCTGAGTGCCTGTTGTGGGCATGATCAAGAAGCCTCCTCTTGTAATACGACTCCATTGGACCCATAATGAACTCAACAAGAGCCACAGGATTAAATGCCTGCCAAATATTAATTTTTTATTAATATTTTTTGTGTTTCATTTTATGCTTTCAAGCTAAGTTAAAACCTTGAGTCTGTCAAGCACTGCCTCCTTAATGATTTTGATGCTTGATTCGGTATAGTTATTTGTGTGGTTGTTTCTAAGCAGCAACTGGCTTCTCGTATGAATGGCCCACTCACTGTGACGCTTCAAGTACAGGGTGGCCCAAAATTCAACGATACATTTTAATTTGCTGCCATTTTTGAACGGATGGAGATATTTGAGTTTTCTCAGCGGGAGAATGAAGTTCAGCTGTGGAAGTTTTGTTGGTGCTATGGGCATCCCATTGTTGCAACGCATTGTTACTGAAAAATAGCTACAACCGCAAACGAAAAATTTCTCTTATGGGATATCCATGTTAATTTTTAAACTTTTTAATTTTTTTACTTTTTTAACGAAACAAAATGTTTTCTAGCCTAAAATTTTGCGAGGAACACGATTCTGGTGTCTAAATTTTATTCCGTTAAGTATAAAATAGACTTTTTGACACAAATTTTATGAAAATGAAAGGTTAGGTCAAATTTGACCTCACCAATTGATTCAGCTTGCCGAGTTTACCCTTGGTACCAATTTTCGTTTCTTTACCTATTTTGGTTCTATAAAATCCAGGAAACCGTCAAAATTTACCTGAAGTAAATTTGGATAATTAAACTTCCAACGGCAATAAAAAATAGAAGTCCAGCTTTAAACTTATCAAACTTTGGCCGGATTAACTACGTGCTTTGTGAGAACTTGTAATTTATAAGTTAGAAGTCTGTCACCCAGAAGAAAAAATTTATTTTTTAAAGTTTGTGGTGATTTATAGCAAATTTAAAAAAAATTTAATTGAAAATTAATCTACGTGAAGCGAAAAATTAAAAGTCCTGTTTTAAAAAAACTGCGATTTCGCTGGCAGTTAGAAGGGTTTAAGGGCTATGTTTTCTCCAAATGGCAAGTCTGTCGCCCAAAGAAAACTTTGGCTTATTATGATTTTTGCATTTCAAACAAAATTTCCTAAATCGGATTTGCGTTATAATTTGGCAAAGTCACCGAAAAAATTAGATTCTGTCGAGTGACAGGCGCAAAATTTGGTAATCCAAATCACTGAACTACATAAATGTTAAAAATCTCCGCGCAAGTAGTATGAAACCTGGACTTCTAAAATTTTTTTATTGAAATGTGGAAAATTACAAAATTTTATCAAATAATATCTGCGATTAAAAATAAAATGAAAAGTCCAGGTTGCATTCTACTTGCGCGGAGATTTTTTAAATTTATGTAGCTCAGTGAGTTGGATTACCAAATTTTGCGCCTGTCACTCGACAGAATCTAATTTTTTCGGTGACTTTGCCAAATTATAACGCAAATTCGATTTAGGAAATTTTGTTTGAAATGCAAAAATCATAATAAGCCAAAGTTTTCTTTGTGCGACAGACTTGCCATTTGGAGAAAACATAGCCCTTAAACCCTTCTAACTGCCAGCGAAATCGCAGTTTTTTTAAAACAGGACTTTTAATTTTTCGCTTCACGTAGATTAATTTTCAATTAAATTTTTTTTAAATTTGCTATAAATCACCACAAACTTTAAAAAATAAATTTTTTCTTCTGGGTGACAGACTTCTAACTTATAAATTACAAGTTCTCACAAAGCACGTAGTTAATCCGGCCAAAGTTTGATAAGTTTAAAGCTGGACTTCTATTTTTTATTGCCGTTGGAAGTTTAATTATCCAAATTTACTTCAGGTAAATTTTGACGGTTTCCTGGATTTTATAGAACCAAAATAGGTAAAGAAACGAAAATTGGTACCAAGGGTAAACTCGGCAAGCTGAATCAATTGGTGAGGTCAAATTTGACCTAACCTTTCATTTTCATAAAATTTGTGTCAAAAAGTCTATTTTATACTTAACGGAATAAAATTTAGACACCAGAATCGTGTTCCTCGCAAAATTTTAGGCTAGAAAACATTTTGTTTCGTTAAAAAAGTAAAAAAATTAAAAAGTTTAAAAATTAACATGGATATCCCATAAGAGAAATTTTTCGTTTGCGGTTGTAGCTATTTTTCAGTAACAATGCGTTGCAACAATGGGATGCCCATAGCACCAACAAAACTTCCACAGCTGAACTTCATTCTCCCGCTGAGAAAACTCAAATATCTCCATCCGTTCAAAAATGGCAGCAAATTAAAATGTGTCGTTGAATTTTGGGCCACCCTGTATTTTTCAAAGCGAGCAATGAACTTATTCTCTCCTTTTAACTTTCTGATTTTAGCGACACAACTATCAAACTCCTCTTTTGTCACAGCATAGACGAACTTCATTTTTAAATTTTAGTAAATTTTCTATTATATATTTTTATGTTAAAATTTACTTTATAACAATGGTCCATCAGTTTTTTCCTTGAGTTCATGGAAGAGTTTGAAAGCAGCCATTTCCACTCTTTAGACAAGACATGGAAAATGCGCAACAGCTGTCGAGCTGATGGCCATACAGAAGTGAGTGCTGCTCTCTCTGCTGCACTATCATCTGTCATGATGACTAGAGGCTCCTTTAGAAAAAAAATTAATTTGTAGTTAAACTTTGTAAAAAGAGAGTAATTAATAAATTTTGTCTGACTAAAGAAATATACTAATTTTTAACCTCTTTTCCACCAAATGCTGTAGGGCAGTGCTGTTTAACAAGCGAAAAAGCTAATCCGTAGCTTTCCTCTGACTGCCCATTGTGAAGGAGCAGACATACAGGAAGAGCCCCAGCTTTCGAGGCAATGGTCATGGAGGTTAGAGTGCAATGGGTAACGTCGACACTGGACGTGGAATCTACGAATAAGCATTCTTTGGCAGAATCCAAATTTTGCACTCGTTTCATGATCGGCGTCACTACCAACACGGCCCAAAGTCCATCTTTTACTGTCACATACACATCTGTGTCTAGGATATAAAAATTTGCAAATTAATTTAAAATAAAATATTTTCATTTTCTTTATACTTCTTTCTAAATAATAATTATTTTCATTCTTCTCCATTATTTTGGTTAGTGGCGACTCATTTTGGCCTCCAAAGTGTTTCTGCGTCCACTTCTCATGAAGGTGATGAACACATCTCCGTGTTGGATTATGTGCATTGTCTGCCAAGTCGACCAATGCATCCTTGGCTACGAGGAGATCTTCGTGCAAGCGCTTCGCCTGCGCTTGCAAGTGTCCATCGTCAAAGTAGGACATGAAAGTTGCTTCGAGATGTTTGGGCACTCTGTTCAATCGAAGTGAGTCTGCACTACTGAGGCGGTGGTTGTGAACCCTTGAGATGCTGATAACCGCTGGCCTGTTGATTCCATTTGCATCTGCTCTAATATGCTTATTAGATTAGATTAGATTAGATATTTTTATTCATTCTTTTGAGCACAAAATATACAGTCATCAACTAGCACAATAATACCACCGAACAAGTTAATGTCGCTCTTAGAACACGTCAGTCCTTATTTTACTAATTAAAGTTATGTCCGAAAAATTCGAACTTGTCATAAAACAAATTATTAGATAACTCAATCTTACAAGTTTTTCAAATTGTACGCTTTGAATGCTATTTTTTATGGAAACAGGAAAGTGATTGAAAACTTTAGCAACCATTGTAAGAGGGTTTTGACAACTCATATTTAGGGTGCTGCTTCCAACGTATAAATCACACTCATGTGTCGTGGCACTTCTTGTATTATACATTTTGGCATCTGGCATGTCCTTTTTTAATTTAAATTTATCTGGATACTTTTTAACAAATTTCATGCATTCTAGTAAATAAAGGCAGTAGGCTGGTAAAATTTCAAATTTTTCAAATAGCGGTTTACAAGAATCTAGTTTAACGGGGCCTCTCCAGTATTGGACAACGGCCATAGAACGGAAAACTCTTTTTTGCGCCAATGACACCTGGTCCATGTGAGTTGAACCACCCCATATGACAATTGAATACAAAATATGGCTTTGAACATAAGCAAAATAGACCTCTCGAAGTCTTTCTCTGGGGAGATGACCTCTTAACATAGTAAACATAAATGCAGTGCTTCGAAGTTTATTCACCACTGCTTCACATTGCGGAAGCCAGCTTAATGTATCAGACAAGGTAACACCAAGTATTTTACCTTGTTTGCAAACTGTTACTAATTCGTTAGATAAAATCACATCAGGCTGTACAATAGATTTTATTTGGGGTGTGTGAATTTGAAGAATATTAGTTTTTTTTGCATTCAGTTTTAAGAAATTTTTTGAAGCAAAATCAACTACTTGGTTGTTTACTTCAATTGTTTTCAAGTTGACTTCAGAATATGATTTGGCTCTAATAATAACTGAGGAATCATCAGCAAAAAGTATTAGGCAAGCAATAACAATATATAATGGGAAATCATTACTATACGTGGTCCAGCCAAAGGGCCGAAAGTGGTGCCTTGAGGAACTCCCATTGAGCTGGATGCCAATTCAGATTGTATCAGTTTTTCAACATTATTATCATCAAAAGTTTTAAATTGCACATATTGTTTTCTATCTAAAAGGAAGCTGCTTACCCATGATATAGCAGTAGGGTCTAAACCATACAATTCTAGTTTTTTAACAAAATGTCTGGCACAAGACAGCCAAACGCATTTGAAAAGTCGTACAGTATTAAATTGACCTTATCTCGCTTCTCAATACAATCATATAACTCGTCAGTTACCATATCAAAGAGTGCTGTTAGAGTGGATTTCTTTTTGCGGAAACCATGTTGTGCTTCTGAGAGAAAGTTATTTTGTTCAAAATAATATTCTAGGCGATTTAGAAATTTTTTTTCAAAAACCTTAGATATGGAAGAAGTTATAGCTATGGGCCTGTAATTATTTGGATCTGTTTTTTCCCCCTTTTTGAAAAGTGGAGTTATTTTGGAAGTTTTTAAATTATCAGGAAAAATTCCTTTGATGAACGATTCATTAATTATATGACAAAGTGGAGCTGTAATTAGGGGAGCAATATTTTTTAGTGTTTTGACAGAAATCCCATCCCAGCTTGTACTACTTTTTGATTTAAGTTTGTTTATGACATGCAAGATTTCACATTCTGTGGTGAGCGAAATTGAAAAACTATTTGTCGGATTGTTGACAATTCTATTTGAAGCGACATCACATGAGCTCTCATCAAGAAAGGGGGGGTTTTCTACAAAGTTATTATTCAAGAGACTTGCTATGCACTGTAAATCAGTAATTTTTTCGTTATTTACAACTAGAGCAGAAATTTGGTCATTTTGATTAGATTTTCCGGTAAGTTTTTTTACTAAGTTCCATGCAGCCTTTCCTTTATCAGGTGCGGAATGTATTTTGCGCGCATTTTCTTTCTGAGCATCACTCCTGATGCAGAATGCTAAATAATTTTTAGATGATTTATATTCTGATTTAAGCTTGGCTAATTTTTCTGCTTGTAAAGAACTTAGGTTTGGGCTACGAGCGTTAATAAATTTATTAAAAACTCGAATTTGTTCACCTAGTTCTCGGACTTTAATTTTTTGGAGTTTAGTGTGGTCAGACAGGTTGACTTTCCTTGATTTGTTGCCTCGTATAATTTTTTTAGTTAATGGAAAAGCAGAATTATACATATTTATCAGCTTAGTCATGAATGTGTCACTTTTTTCATGAATTGTTTTTTGTTCGTATATATCATTCCAGTTAGCATTTTCCAGACTACTGTAAAATAATTGCCAATTTTCATCTGATAAGTTACGGTTAAAAATCCAATGGTCTTTAATGGCTTGATAACAAATTTGAAAATTACAGGAGACCCCATCATGGTCAGAAAAATCTACTCTGTAAACGTCTGAAGTATATTGGCAATCAAAGTTAGAGAAAATATGGTCAATCAAACTAATGGAGCCATTGAAAATCCTAGTTGGTTTGGCGCTATTGAGAAAATTAAAATTATACGAAGACAAAATTTCCATAAGTTTATGTGATTGTGAGTTATTTTTTAAAAGGTCTATATTAAAATCACCAAATAATATTATTTCTTTTCCTGGTTGCACATTCTGCTCTAATATTGACTCCAATTTATCAAAAAATTCATTTAATTGTGTCAAACTGTTATTTATATTATTCGATGGTCTATAGATCAAAATTAATTGGATATTCCTATTTTCTATTTGAATTGATGCTGAGCAAATCTCAAAAGCTGATTCAACTGATTTCAGATTAAAAACTCTGGTTTTGAATTTACAACTATCATTAATCAAAAGTGCGACACCGCCTCGGTTCTGTTTTTTTCTTCCAAAATATGAGAGAAGAGAGAAATTGGGAATTTTTAGACATTTTATATCAACTGCATCCAGCCAAGTTTCACAAATTCCAATAATAGCAGGCTGTTTTTCTAATGTCAGAATATAATTTTCAAAGAGAGATAATTTTGTTGTTGTATTAATTCCCTGTGCGTTAAATAGGAAAAATTGGAAACTATTGTGTTTGTTACATTGATTGCTCACTCGACGTTGATTCACTTTGTGCGAAGGTGTGTTATTTGCGGACCCGGTGAATCTTTATTCCTGGTGTTTCTAGTATTCTGCAGTAGGATATTACAATTAAAATGAAATCAAAATTAATAAATAAAAAAATTTCTTTAATTTTTTTAACTTTGTAAAATATTTTTGCTATATCTGTTATCTATAATAGCAAATTGCAATAAAAAATTAATATATCTCCACCGCCACAAAATATTTTTTTTAGCAGTAAATTTAAAAATTTTGGGATGAAAATAACTACTGAGTAATTATATATACCAGCTTAATCTTAATATCCAGCTTGGCCTCACACTCCGTATTCCTCGTAGATTTTTCAGTCTTATTTAGCCTACTGAAATGGCAATCCCACTTCTTGTGTAGCTTAAACCTGTTAATTTCATAATCATTTTTAATATTTATTTATTTCCAAAATAAATTTTTTAGCAAACCTTTGGTGATCATCTCCATTTCGTTCATATCTAACTATCCACTGTGTTCTACTTCGAGCGCAGAATTCATCTTCCCATTGATTCGCATCTTCTTCATTATTTAAAGAAGCCCTCAACATAAACTTGTCTGGTAATCGCTCCAAACAAATTGTGTTGAAAGAGTTTGGAAAAATATCTTTTGTTGGACTATTTACAGACATTGTCTTATACTTGTAATTGACCGAAAAGTAAACAATAGGCAATGTTAAGTTTGAAGTATGATCTAATTTATGACATGCATGGTCAAGTGCAATGAAAATGCTTGATTTGTTGTTGTATTATAATAAGAAAATCTAATTTTCAATTATTATTTAATTAAAATTCCTTTCCACATTCAAAATAATTCTTTCAATTACATTCTATCGCTAATTTGACTAGTTTTTCATTGTGCAGGGAGGCAAAATTTTGAATTTCAGCGCGAAATCCACACAATGCGCCCTACTGAAATAGCTTTCGGAAATTCGCCACCGGGGTCAATGACCTTTTGTGACCTGGTCACAGTGGTCACCATGTTTAATACATGGTCTGAAAGATCAAGCTAAGGCAATCAATTTTTGACATATGTTATACATTTGGTCGTCAATCTAACAGGAAAAACGTTACAGAGGTTGAAAGTGAATTTTCCACAAATAAATGCTCGGAAAACCACGTTTTTTGCCCTTTGATCCCGAATATCTCAAATATGAAAAAAAAGTATCACCAATTTTCAATATATTGTTCATTAATAACTGTAGCAACTTTTGGCTATTTTGGAATCAAAAAAATTTGTTGCCTTCTTTGGTAGCGACTCAAATAATTGAGCTAAGAAAAAGTGACCTTCGGATTTGACCTTTGACCTTGGTCACTATCGCAAAGTTGTAGGGCATCTAATTCCGAACAAATTTGCTAATACACTCATACGTGCTATCTGCACCAGGTGATGAGATATTTTCGATTTACGAAAACACCTTTTTTCAAAATCAGCAACTTTAAACCCCTGTAAAATAGGCAATTTTGAGAATTTTCAAAAATCCTTCTAAACTATTTGTCTACACCCTAAGAGCAAACAACGTGCCAAATTTATTCAAATCGGTTGACCCTTTCCAAAAGTGTGGCCGTTTAAAATAAAGAGTGCCGTTAATCATAGTTTTAATTGACATAAATATGTAACTTTCAATTCTGGACCATTTTTCAATCGCCTTATGGATGGTTAATGAAAGGAGTCCGAATTGCAATTTCCCACATATTTCTACGATGGCCTCACAACTGATAATAATTTTGACAATTATCAAATATTTGGGGAAAAAATTGCAATAAAAATCAACTTACTTTGATTGAAGCTTGAATATCAAAAAATTTTTGTGAACAGGTAAAATG